ACCTCCTCCAGGAAGCCTGTCTGGAGCTCCTCGCAATTATTTTCTACCAGGTGTTTTCCCTGTCCAGCCACCACCTCCAATGATACATCATACCAATACCTGTGGGATACTGCAAAAGCAGTATTATGGGGTAAATTTATTGCATTAAATGTATACCTCAGAAAAATGGAAAGATGGCAAGTGAACAACTTAACACTTCACCTTAAAGAACTAGAAAAACAAGAACAATCCAAACCTAAAGTTAGCAGACGGAAAGAAATCATTAAGATCAGAGCAGAACTTAATGAAATTGAAACCCAAAAAACAATACAAAAGATCAACGAATCAAAAAGTTAGTTTTTTGACAAGATAAATAAAATTGACAAACCATTAGCATGACTAACAAAAAAAAGAAGAGAGAAGATTCAAATAACAAAAATTAGAAATGAAAAAGGTGATATTACAACTAATTCATCTGAAAAACAAGGAATCATTCGAGACAACTGTAAACAACTATACGCCAACAAATTTGAAAATCTAGAGGAAATGGATAAATTTCTGGACACACACAAGCTCCTAAAACTGAACCATGAAGACGTAGAAAATCTGAACAGACAAATAACAATAAAGGAGATGGAAGCTGTTATCAGAAGGCTCCCAACAAAGAAAATCCAGGACCAGATGGATTCACAGCAGAATTTTAACAAACATTCAAAGAGGAATTGATACCAATTCTTTAGAAACTATTCCAAAAGATTGAAACAGATGCAAATCTCCCAAACTCAGTCTATGAAGCAAACATCATCCTGATACCACCCCCCCCCCCCCATATAACCAAAAAAGAAAACTACAGGCTGATATCCTTGATGAATATAGATGCAAAAATCCTCACGAAAATACCAGCAAACAGAATACAGCAACACATACGTAAAATTATTCACCACAATCAAGTGGGATTCATCCCAGGGATGCAAGGTTGGTTCAACACATGCAAATCAATAAACGTGATACACCATATTAATAAACTCAAACACAAGGACCATATGATCATCTCTATAGATGCTG